GGGGTCTTTGGCTCCAGTAAGAAAAGTGTAAGAAAGGGGGGGGGTCTTGAACTAATGTAATATTACACTTTTGTGAGGTGAAAAAAATATTTTTGACATACTGATGAACACTGCCTTTGTTGATGATAACTATTTCACTTTTCGTTTTCAGCATAATGATCAGTAATAACAGATACAGTGGAATCCTGATAGTCAACTTGCTTAATAGTCAACTCTTGCTTACAGTCAACACCTCACTGTGGTCCCGTTTTTTACCTTCTTTGTCTTAGTAATTTTAAGTAGATCTAATTGTGTTTCTGATACAGTCAACCGCTTGAGTGTTAAGCTTGCGTAAAGTCAACAATTTGGGGCTAAATCCCTAGATGAATTCATTTAAGAAGAGATATTTCGCCTGAGCTAGTGGTATGCACACCCCCAATTACTTTGTGCTTTCATTACCCTTTGGTGACAACTTCAAAATTATACTCCCCGAAATTTAGATTGCATCTGGATTACCAGGTACTTTGTAATTTTATAGCTGTCATCTTCAATTTTCAATGGCCAGTAATGGATAAAGTAAACTTTACTCAAAGTTAACATTTTTTTTAATGTCCGGGGTGTTGACTTTATCAGAATTCCACTGTAACTTGTTTTATTTGTAATTAAGGCTCTTTTGTCATTGACATGAGTTTCAATTTTTTCCTTATTAGTAAGAGTGTAAGCAACATTTTGCTTGAATGATTTACTCTAATAATCGTGAGGCAGCGTGGTGAAATCAGGCGCTCGTCAAAATAATGAAAGTGAAAAAACTGGCATTTTCCCGCAGGTTTTGGAACTTTTATTGAATTTTTGTTTTCCCGCTAAACACCTTTTACGTCCATATAATAACACATTTCTATGTGAATTTTACTGAAAAATGTTAATTAAATGCACAAAATATGCAATTTTTTCAGTTTTAAAGGCTCTCAAGCTATTGAAGTTATCAAACTTTCGCGGCCGTTTTCTCACTACATTTACCTCTGAAACCAGGTGACTCACGCCTCTTTCAATTGCAAATATTTCAACTTCTATTCAGCATAGATGAATATTGTTTTCATCAAAAGGGAGGCAAATGGACAGGCTTTAAGATGATATCAATAACTCCGTATGCCTCAAAACTGACGAGCGCCTGATTCCACCGTCATGTCGTGACACCTATTATTTTTTAGTGCATATATTATTATGGGCATGTATGTGAGTAGTATGCATGTTTTTCATGAATATTACGTAAAGCGCATAGAACAATGATTGTTTCACGGATTTGCGCGATATAAAATGTGTCATATTATTTTTATCATTATAATCGAACAATGTGATATTACGGGAGTGGGTGGGGGGGGGGGGGGGGGGGGGGGGGGGGCCAATGTAAGAAAAGTGTAAGAAAGGGGGGGGGGGGGCAAAAAGTCCAAAAAAGGTGTAAGGTTATATTTGAACAGCCTCTAATGACATATTTCCAAACAAAACTTTGAATAAAACCTGTCACTTCCCGGGTGATTCCTATGGCCTACCAAAACTACTCAAATCGCCTTCTAGTGAGCAATATTGCCCAGATTTTTAAGACTGCTTCAGATTCTACTTGGGACAGGGTGCCTTTACGTACTTCTATCAGGACCAACAGAGTCCAACTGGGATACTGAGTATCATCACTGCAGAAATATTGAGAGATACTGGATAGAAGAAGCTATTCCTTAGGTGATTTGTAATTGTTTTTTGGTGTTTTTGTAAGTGTTTTACGGCGCTCGCAACTGCACTAGGTCATATGAGCGCGTGGATACATTAAACATTTTCAGTTGGTAGGAAATTTAGAATTTTACACGAGTGGCGACCGAAGCCTGCTCTTATCGATTTTAGACCACCAAGGGATCTTTAACCTGCGCAACTTGCCCACGGGCCCTCAGAGATTTTACGCCCTTGTCCGAGAAGGCTAGGTGTAGATCTTTCCAACCAGAAGATCAGTGGTGTGGCTGAAAGACAGCAGTAAGAAGGAGCCAAAGAGTAGCAGCAGAAAGGCTGCAGAAAGAGCCAAGAGCCCAGTGGAGGGGGCAAAGGAGGTGAGGGGGTGGGAGAATAAAGTGGAGACGAAAGCAGACGACAGAATAGTTCAAGAGAGAAGGAAAGAAGGTGAAAGGAGACAATTTTTCTAGAAGAAAATGTTTCGGTCGCTACCAGGATTCGAACCCGGGACATTTGAATGAGAGGCGAACACCTTAACCTTTAGGCCACGAGAGCCCACCGCCCTCCACCCCCCCCCCCTCCTTTACAGGATTGAAACTTATGTCTTCTACGTATGACGCCGAAAAGTCTAACCATCACACCACAGATACAGGTTTGGCGAAAGGGAAAGGCAGGGATAATTAACAATAATTTGTTAACTCTTCTTCACTGACGTCTTTGCTGTCAGAATGTTGGTTTTAGTAAGAGTTTTACGGCACTTGAAACAAAAATAGGTAATAATATAGGTCCCGAAGATTAGAGGTCTGTTTTACTTTTAAAAAGTAACATGCAAAGAAGAGGAAGAGATCGACAGATAATATTTGATAAGACAGAAGGAGCAACCACCTCAAGATGCCTGCCAACCCCATACTCACTTTTACCATTTCACCTAAACATTATCTCGGGTAAAAGTAAATGTTAGCACCCCACCCAGTTTGAAATGAGTGATCCAGCTTTACCTCTACCGTTTCTGTAAGTAACCCGCTCATTGGCCTTACTATTCAACAGGTGGACCCTGAACCTGTGCTGTTGCTGATGCTGCACACCGTCATCAGTGGCTGTATGCTGTATGACGTAACAAGCACTTTGTGTGTCATAGTAGCCGGTATGACGTCACTCATCTGTCTCGGAGGATATGAGGTGCACGGGGAGCGCGTTGCTGTGCTCGTCATTTCTACTCTTATCACTGCCATTTTAGGGTGAGTTGTCCTCTTGCTTCCCCCCCTCATCACACGGAACTTGATCACGAGACAAAATATCGACGTGTGCTTAGAGATAATTAATTTAGTAGATAAAATGAATAAGTTGAACCACGAGGAAATTCATCTGGTTCGAATCCAATTAAGTTTAGAGCTTTTTTTGTGTTCAGAGATTTGCTTTAAAAAAAAAGCGCACTGTTAGAGAACAAGATCGAAATATGCAGAGTCTCTCTTTCTCGCTCTCGTTCGCTCTCGCTCGCTATCGCTCGCTATCGCTCGCTATCGCTATCTCTCTCTCTCTCTCTCTCTCTCTCTCTCTCTCTCTCTCTCTCTCTCTCTCTCTTTCTCTTTCTCTCTCTCATGTTAAATCAAACGTAAGAGCATGATACTATCATCCCCAGAAAACCGTTGGCGATCATTGCCTGTGTGGTTGTTGGAGTCGTCATTGTTGTGGCCAAGTTGCGTCCCTTGAGACCTCCGATGCTCCTGCTGGTGGCTTTGAGCTTCATAGCCTTGACCTTGCTGGTGAACCGTGCGGCTGGGTCTGTCCTGGTCTTCGTCCTCATGGGCATCATAACGGCTCTGTTTGTCGTCAACAAGGTGAAGTTTCGGAAAACAGAACAATGTAATACAAAGTCATGTATAACTTGCTTTGTCGGGGGTTTTTTTGGAGACGTTAACGTCCAGCGGGGCACATTAGAGACACCAGCGCTTGTAGTGTTGTGGTGAGACGCTTGGCCATCGCATGTATGCAGAAGAACCGAGTTCGATTCCCATATTATAACGAGATTCTTGACCTTCTGCTGGGACGTTGCATAATTCTCAACCCGGATTTATCCTGACAAGCAGCGTCGAAACCCGCCACCTAAACAATCTCAATTGTTTCGACACGGGGTATAAAACACCTACATAAAAACAAATACTTGATGATGATGTGAATATCTTTGTTTCTTTATCTATCTGCCTCTTTGTGAGTCTGCATATCTGGCTGTTTCTGTATGTGTGTGTGTGTGTGTGTGTGTGTGTGTGTGTGTGTGTGTGTGTGTGTGTGTGTGTGTGTGTGTGTGTGTGTGTGTTTCTGGGGGTTTCTGGGGGTTTTTCTTGGCTTCCTTTTGGGCCACTCCCACCCACCTCCCGTCATAGATTGCAAAGCTCATATAGTTTGCTATTGGGCTGGAATATGTGCTGTACAAATGCTACTTTACCAAATCTTGTTGTTGTCAGTGAAAATAATAACCATCTTGAAAATACATGTAGATCTAGTAATAATAATATTAATAATAACGATAGTAATAACAATGTTAATAATGAATAAAATGATAATAATAATAAATAAATAAATGAATAGATAAAAAGATAATAATTAATTAAATAAATAAATAATGAAAACGATAATGATAATGATAATAATTAATTCGTCCAACACGAACAGCTGATGGCTTTTAATTTCCAAAGATGGAGAGAAGTTGTTGATCAATGTAGGAGCTAGTAACTTTAAGAGAGAAAAGTTAAGTACAAATTATAATTGCAAGACTGAAACATATTACTATGTTATACTATGGCATACCATAGCTGAAATCTTGTCCTCCAGGTTTCGTCAGACGATGACCTTCCACCCAGGACCTCGACCCGCTCCCACCACAACAGCGGTAACAACAACAGCAACCACAGTGGACAGCATTCACCTGTTCCCAACGGATACTTACAGCTCAGCAAGTCAGTCAGAGTTTGGGAATAAATCATATCTCTCGTCGGCAAGTGCTTCAAATGTTCTAAGCCCATCGAGAACAATTACTCCGGAAAGAAAAACAAAATCATTTGTTAAAACAGTTTTATCTACTAAATATTATATAGATCTACATTTTCTTAATTTTTTCAACATTTAGAATTTGAATTTTGACAAAACATTTCTTGAGCATATTATGCAACCTATACCAAAGATTTTTAAAATGGTGGGCTTAGTACATCTGAACTGGTAGCCGGCAGTTTGTATTTTGCGTTTTGTCTCATAAAGGTTACTTTTGGTGTCTGTTGAATAGTAATTAAAACTTTTCAATGTTGTGTAGATGGCACTAGCTTGATTCCATAACGGGGAATAAAACGCAAATTTGAGTGCCTCTGACTGATGGGATATGATATTCCCACTCAGCCTGGGTTGACACATGCTAATCCCACTATTTGGAAATGTTCTGAAATTGTCCCCCTTCCAAAGAAAGAAAAAATTACTGAAATGAATGACCTGAGGCCAATAGCCTTATCATCGGTAGTTATAAAATGTCTAGAAAAAATTGTGCTAAAAATACTACGAACGTACATAGAACCCACCCAGGACCCTCTACAATTTGCATATCGTCACGGGAGAAGTGTGGAAGACGCCATTTTACTATTTCTTGACAACATATATAGACATTTAGACAAGCCTAAAACATACTGTAGGATCCTGTTTGTTGATTTTTCGTCAGCCTTTAATACTATCCAGCCAGCTATCCTTTTAAAGAAATTAGAAAACATAGGTGTTAACGTCAATTTAATATCATGGATAGGCAATTTTCTTACCAACCGAACCCAGTATGTAAAATTAAAACATTCTTCATCGACATACATCACAACAAATACAGGGGCCCCTCAAGGATGTGTTTTGTCACCAGTTTTATTCACACTATACACGAACGATTGCCAAATAAACAACATTAACATCAAGTTGATAAGATTTGCAGATGATCCAACTATAATTGGGCTAATTCAGGCTGACCATAACGAAACCGCTTACCGGAATGTTGTACTTAATTTTTCTGAATGGTGTGAAAATCATAAGCTGCTTTTAAATGTGAAAAAAACAAAAGAACTTGTCGTTGATTTTAGAATAAAGAAACTGCCCCTGCAGCCACTCAAAATGAAACGTGAAAACATTGAGCAAGTGTCAGACTATAAGTATTTGGATGTTACAATAGACAAGAAACTCAACTGGCGTGTCCACACTTCTCTCCTGCATTTTAAAATTGATAATACAGTAATGTCCATGTTCTACCATTCAACCATAGAAAGTATGATCAATTTTTGTATAACAGCATGGGCCGGGAACACAAGATAACAAGATAAAGAAAAATTAAATCGACTAATACGGAAAGCATGTAAAATTTCAACATCTTCATTCCCCTACTTGGATGAATTGTACATAACAGCTCGCACTAAGAAAATTAATTCCATCTTTTTAGACAACAAACATCTCTTATTCCCTCAAATAAAAACATCAGCCAGAAATAAAAAACCCATGCTTCTGATCTGTAACAAAGAAAGATACAGAAGGTCATTTTTACCATCATCTATCAAAATGCTTCCATCTTAACCATCTTGTTTAGTGTACTTACGACCTTAGAGCATGCATCAAAATAACATTGACTGTGTATCTAGCTTACGACTATTATTGTTTATATTGCTGCTCATTTATATTATGCATGTGATTGCAAGCCTACTTGTGTGTGCATGTGTGTGCAGGTGTGTACGTGTGTGTGTGTGTTTGTGTGTGTGTGTGTGTGTGTGTGTGTGTGTGTGTGTGTGTGTGTATGTGCGCGTGTGTGTGTGTGTCTGTACTCGTGGAGGAACACCAAACCAATGTGCCAGGATCTGGACAATAAAGATGTATCTTATCTTATCTTATCTTATCTTAACCGTGAAAGCAGGGTTGTAGCAGCCCGCCTCTAAATGTTCTAAATTTCGTCGTTGTCTGCGTAAAACAGTTACAATATGTACAAAAAGACATTGTTTCCACCCTTTTCCAGTAAAATAATCCGAATTCATTTTCCGAGACAGACTTTAATCACTGGTGTCTTTGGTACTGAAGTCAGCTGCTTCGCTGTAGCACGCAGGAGATCCGAGTTGAATTCCCGAATGAAGAGAATTTTTATAGAGTATTTCCATCTTTCTACTGGGATGTTGCATCTCTCTCGGCCCGGGTTGGCTCTGAAGGCTGGGATGAAGCCTGCCTCCCGAATTATCTAAATTGTGTCTATGGGGGCATGTTAGGGGATAGACAAGTGAGAGGAGGGTTGTGAACAATCCTCAAACAGCTACGTGTTCTGGAATACCTTGTTCTCGCAAGGCCACTGGAGACGACTTCGCCACTCCCAGAATACAGGGTTCCATCTCAGTCACAATACGATCACTTTCGAAATTTTTCAAAGTCTCATACCTTATGTCCCCTACGTGTCGAACAAAATGTATGATGGTTCTACTTCATAAAATAGAAGAACAGGAGGCTAATGACACTCTAACTCTAAGGCCGGT